ATTCTCAAAAAGCGGAGCACATTTCTTGCCAAGGAAAAATAGCAGAGTGATACGGACCGAGTGTACTACTTTCTATAGGGCACCATTTGTGTTGCCAGCTGAACCTAAAGACGTGTTGTATAGTGTTTGAAAGACTAATTATTTATATGCTTTATAGTGACTGTAGGAAAAATATAATGTGTAACACAAGTGAAAAAGGCCTTTGCTGCACTCGAGATCACATTGCTCACATTGCGAGAAATATTGCTCTCGTGTGCAGCAAAGTGCCACTTTCCCCACTAGTTACACAAATAACTATTTACATTTGCTTTCACATTTAAATGTAAACAAGGAGAACTGCTAAACTGCATTTTCACATTTTCAGACAGCTGATACAAGGAAATTAAATAGGCTAATATTTTGCATAACTATGAGGTAGGTTTATTTTAATCTAACCTTTTAGTACAACCATTCCCCCTGTTGTTGGTTAACATTTATTCCTTAATTTGTAACTAACCAAAAACTCTTAAGTTCCCCACACACACTCCTTCGGCTGGACCTGATCTGCTGCCAGGTCTAGCCATGTCGTCCGAAAATGATGAAGAAACCAATCAAATGGACCTAGAAACTGCAAAAGCGGTTGATTCAATAATGGATCACTTCTACTCCACCAACCCAAATATAGAAAATACCCCAACCGCTCACAGGTGGCAGTTTTTGAGGTTATTAGTGGTCGTATTGCATTGAGCAGTATACCGTTGAATTCGTCGTGAGATTCTGCACAATTTGAGTACCCACAACATGGGTTTTGAGCAAAAACAATTTTTTCCTGTTTTTCCCATTTCCCGGGAAAACGGGACTTTTCCGCAAAAAATGAATATCGTTTTTGGAATCAGCACTAAAAAACGAACATTTTGAAAAAAAAATGTTTAAAGCGTTGACTGGAGGTCGATAGTTTTACCTTATGCACTATGCTACGTCCATTAACAGACAACGTTGAGGGTTGGAATGAGGACGATCATGTCGGCAGTGGCCTAGCATCTATTACTGTTATTTTACGAGAGTAAATTCAATTTGTTTCTAATTTATGTTGCTGTAATTAAGTTAATAATTTTATGTATCACAGTTGGCCATTTGCTTTTTAAAGTCCATTTGCTTTTACAAATCTAATTAATACATATTGTAGTTCTGATTTTGCTCTCATATCGTCGTGTTTGGTTTTGTCCGTTTAGTATCGAATGTAAACAACTGACGGCTGTTTCCACTCGACAAACCTTCCTCCCCTTCCAACTTTCCTTTTTTTCCTTTCCTTTTATCTTTGTGGTGTTATTTTCGCCACTAGGACTTGGACTTGTCCAAACCACAAATACAGTATGTGAATAACTCAACAAAACTGAGGCTTAATATTAATTATTTAACTGTAGGCCTACGGCCACTTAGGAATCTCTCAGACGAAAACTGATTGTAGGGCCTATTTTTGGATTCAGCGGGGAAAATAAGTTACTGTAGGCTAAGTTAAGTAGACATCTAAAAACTACATGATAAGTTATCGCGTTGTATTCAAAAAATAAAACTATAATTTTTTACTTTTTCCACTTTACCGAAAAAATACACTATCTAAATCATTAAAATTACTAAGTTATTTCTAGATTCTCCTGTTCTTTCCGAACAAAATGAATATAATGTTTACTAGGTTTAAGTTACTTGTACGGTTGAATTTTTACAGATTTTCAAAAAAAGGTCTGCAAAATCGCCAAAATGGGTTGGCCATTCTCCACTTCGGTACTTATTTAGGACCCAGACCCCAGCTTAAGCGTTCTAAAATCTTTTTTAAACTATTCTAGGACATCAATACTACAACTTTATTAAAGAATTTTTTGGCGCCGAGACCTCCTTTTATTATTAATTAAATATATAAACAATAATCCCAACTCACTAGGGGGCCGGTGGGAATTCGGGGTTTTGGGTGGGGGAGATAAAATGTGGTTAATCATGGGAAGAGAAGGGTAATTCGGCGGGGAAAAGGGTACGGTAATTAATAGGTATTACCCAGCAAGAATGGGAAATTAGTCTGTATAAATGGGTACTTTCCTTTGCCGCTGAGCCAACGACGAGGAGCAGAGCCGGCAGAGACAGGAAGACCATCAGAATTGTATTGCACCATATGATATAAATAAAAACAATAATAAAGTAAAAATAAAGTTGTTTGTTTATTTTATCCTATATATTTAAACTTAGTCAAAAATGGCTTTGAAAATATTTTAACCGGTCATTAAAAAGTGATGTAACTTAACATCTATCACCTGTGTAAATAGCCAATCCTAAAGTTACCTCTAAAAACGTGAAGTTAAGTTTTCAGTCTTCTTTTAGCGAATTTCCCTATAGGGAAGTAGTTTTTTGAATATTGGTAGTTTTATTTATTCAAGTTCATAAAAACGTACACCGATCTTAACTGAATGTTTACATTCAAAACATCAATAAAACATATAAACAAATCATAACCTAGTTCCATGTTTGTTTACATTGAAAAATTAAAATATTTTAGAAACGATATATCGAACCAAATCTATATCGATATTTCTGCAGACATATGTAATGAATACATAGAGAAAACAAACTCATCAAGGAGTATGGAATTAATAATTAAATGAACAAATCTATGGAATCAACCAACACAAGTTGTTAGGTACTCGTTTATCGTGTTTACAGTAGGTAGTTCATGTTGGTGTCACTGGATGCGCTGGTGTCTAAAAAATCTGATTTATTAATAGGGTTATTTACTGTGAATTTTTTATTTAGTTTTATGGTTTGTACTTTAAACTACTGTTTGTGTGTGTGTTTGTGTTTTTTTTTTACTGTTTGGCTGTATATCTGGGTAACGAGTCCTCTTATAAAACCGATTTATGAAATCATACAGCAATTTTGGTTGGTTTGGTTAGTTTAGAACAGTTTCATTTCATAATGAACCATTATTTTTCCTCTGAAAATCATACAGCAAGTTTGGTTGGTTTGGTTAGTTTAGAACAGTTTCATTTCATAATCAATAATTATTTTTTCCTCTGGAAATCATACAGCAAGTTTGGTTGGTTTGGTTAGTTTAGAACAGTTTCATTTCATAATCAATAATTACAAGCTGCTATACCCGTGCTTTACAACGGGAAGAAAATGTGACCTAGACAGCTATTAAAGTAATTCTGTTGTGTGTTTTAAAATACGGAAACTTTATGATTTAGTTTGAAAATATAAACTGATTTAAAAGTGTAAACCTGCTTACTTCAAAACCCTACTTTTTATGTTAATTATCAATTGCTTCATATTGATGCTTCACGAATGACATGTTCTACCATAATTCTTCAACTTTAGTCAATCTTCTTTACACGTAGCTTACTACAGTATATAAATTACAAAATGAAATCTTTGAGCAATTCTTTACAAACCGTATACAAACTTTTCTTTAAAACCAATCATAACCCTCCTAAATCTACAAAGCGTCACAAACATCTTTTTCGAGTAAATAAACAAACGCCAGTTCATTGCACTGACAAGCTGTTTCACTAACTAAATTAAATTAAATCATGTAAACTTAGGAACCATGCCAGGCGTAGCCCTTTGAAAATTAGCCTGTGCGGCAGAGCCCTTAGGAAATTCGTTCATATCAATACTTTTCGGCAAATCTACACACTTTCAGCTTCATTTTGATGTGCCATATGCCTTATATTTTCATTTGGTAAATGGCCTTAACCGTTTACATAAAATTTGATTGTATCACTTTAATAATATAATAGATTTTTTCCTCTGGAAATCATACAGCAAGTTTGGTTGGTTTGGTTAGTTTAGAATAGTTTCATTTCATAATCAATAATTATTTTTTCCTCTGGAAATCAAACAGCAAGTTTGGTTGGTTTGGTTAGTTTAGAACAGTTTCATTTCATAATAATTAATTATTTTTTCCTCATGTAATCATACAGCAAGTTTGGTTGGTTTGGTTAGTTTAGAACAGTTGCATTTCATAATCAACAATTATTTTTTTCCTCAACAAGTGAGTGTTCATAAGATCTACATGTTGAAATCTTAACTACAGTACTTTGTAATTAAAACGGGATTTTACGAGAAATAGCCTACAGAGGGAATTCAGGTTAAATTGAGGGGATTCTAGGGGTAATTGTGGTACGGTGACCTTTCACTGCAACTGCATTGCTATTGTTTGTGGTAAAACAGATCAACAGATTATGTAATTGTGCAGATTTCTGATTGGCTGATGATTTCTTTCGTGTAGTAATCTGATTGGCTGGTGGTTTCGTTGTTAGTGTTTTGTTTAGAACTGTCTCCATGACTCCATGTTGTTAGCCTAGTTCAATTCTTAAAGTGAAGTAGAGACACAGGAGGACGTAGCTCAAATTTGTGATTAATTTTCATTCTGATTGTGTCGGAAAATCGCGTTCGGACATTATGTAGAAAACGGGGTGATTCGTGGTGAAATATGTGGATACCTATCAAAATATGTATTTGTTGGACGAAGTGATTTTAATTTTCGTTGTATAGGCTAGTTGCTGGTTGGCTATCGGCAAACCAAAGACATGGTACTCTCCGTGCGTGTCAGTTTTGGTTATCTTTGAGTGAGACAATAGTAAATTATACGTCGAGTGCATATTCCTTGTGAATTTTTCACGTCGATATACCGTAGTGAATCCAACATTCTTGAAAGTGTGGAATTGTGTAAAATTGGTGTAGGCCTATATTGAGGTTTTGGAGGAACTGTTGTTAGGGTCGGTTTTATTAAATTCCAGTCAATATTTGGGACTGGAATTGCTTTTCCCCCAATTATTATCCTCCAAAACTTCATTTTATACACTTTTTACACAATTTCACACTTCAGAAAGTGTTTTTAAGCTGGGGTCTGGGTCCTAAATTTTTACCCCACTTCTAATATTGGCCACTGCTAGAGTTAAAGAGCTTAACTTAGGTCAATAAGTAAGTTAGGCCTGATAAAATTAATGGAATACACTTATGATTTAGGCTACCTGTTTTAGGCTATGTAGGGCCGATCAACATAGGATGCAACGCTGAGAACTCTTCCTCAACAGATAATGCAACTTGAGACCTGTAAAGACAATTCTGTGAATAGCTTTTAACACGTTGACTGCTAACGCAGACTCTAGTCGGCGTCACTAGCACTTCAATGTGGCGCGCACCGACAAAAGTCGGCACCAGACCAACAGAAATATATTGAGTCAGTGTGAGCTTAGCCTCAGACGGAGACGTTATAATCGTTGCCAGCCTGCCAGCTTAGAATGCGAGCTTTACTTTGGTGTAGGTTGGTACTAAAATTTCCCGTAAAATCCTGTCTGGCAATGCTTTCGTCCCGGTTTCGGGGATTTTTTCTCTTCAACCCACATTACAAAGACACTGGATACGGATCCGTCCAGTGCTGCTACCTTTGGGTGTATCAGTGAACTACATCCACTCTCGGGGTAACGCAGCACAGTCACCACTGCTCTTTTGTGATTCGTCAGACTGAAATATTTGAATGCCAATTGCGTTCGCTGATTCGGTTGCATGCCGGGGTTTCGCCCGCCACTGGGGAGCGCCTGTACGTTGTTTTCAGCAGTCATCGTGTTAAGGGTAGGCCAAGGTAGGTACATAAGCAAATTAAAGCTACTTATTACAGGCCAATACAAAGTTAGGCTACCTGAAATGGTACTCATGAAATTTCGTCTGTAAACCTTGTTATGGAACTAAGGGAAATTACTGTGGAAAGGGTGACCAAGAGTACCGGTACCATAGTAAAATTACTAGCCTATAGCCTATAGGGCCTAGGATTATCATTAGAAACTATTTTTATATCATTAGATTTTTACCTGAAAACAATGGTGCAAAAAGTTTTCTGCTGTCACAAAAACCAAATTAGCCTAACTAAGATTTTTTTTTGTTTTTTTATTACTGTAATACATCTAGTCGCCTTTACTTTACTGTGAATTTTGAATTGACTCTGACCAAGTAATGATAAATGAATTAAATAAATCAAATCAATTAGGAATGAACGATTGAAATTGAATGAAACATTGGAAGAGAAGAGCAAGAGAATGGTAATGGTGATTGTGAATGTGATGTGGATTGTGATTGTGGAAGGAATGTCTAGGGAAGAAGAAGAAACCTAAGATGAAAAAGAGTAAGTTTATACAAAGAGGACAAAGAGGTAGAGGGATTTGTAAATTCAACTGAGCGTTGATTATGAACTACTATAGTTCTTTTGGGTGTTATGCGGATTGCGGACTCGTGACTGTATTAAGTGTTTTGAAGTTAGGTTAGGTTATATTAGGAAGGTAAGGTTTAGGAATTGGCACACGGGAGGGACTAAGGCTAAAGGTGTAGTGACGTCATATCTCTAGTGGTTAATGTCTTCTCTTGAGGCAACACGATTACCGTAACGAGACGGTGACACGGTGTGATTTCAGCGGCGTTCGTGGCATGGGTGGTAGCGTTTCGGATAGGTGTTCAGGAGGTCCCGGGTTCGAATCCATCAGGGGACATTACCGTTTTGTCAAAGATTTTTGCTTAGAATTCGAATACTTCTTAACTGTACATCTTTTGTTATAATTTGATGCATTTATAATTTTATTTATGAGAAGAACTTTTTTTTTAATATTGAACCATTATTCGATTTTTATCTTATATCTTTTTTATAGTATCAGCAAGTTTGGTTGGTTAGGTTAGGTTATGACAGTTTAATTTTATAATACTAAATTTTAAAATTAATTTTATAATTAAAAATTATAAGTTATCATTAATTAGATTTTTATTTCATATAGTTTTTGTATTATCAGCAAGTCTGGTTGATTAGGTTATGCTATGACAGTTTAATTTTAAAAATTAAAAATTAATTTGATAATTTATTAAAAATTATCTATCTATAATATTAAAACAAAAAAGTGTTTTTTTATTTCACGATTCTGAATCAACAACTCGACGGATTTTCATGATTTTTGTGTTGAAAGAAAGATAATTTTGAGAACTAGGGAATGTCGAAGCCATTAATTTAGGGTCCCAGTTTTTTTTAAATTAAGTTTTAATTTTTAAAAAGTCTAGCAGCCGACGCTAAGATTCTAAACTAGCTTTTGGCATAAAATAATTTGCTTAAGAGGCGGCAGGAGTCAGGTTGAAAATCGTCAATCTGCGACTCCTGCATTTGTACGGTCCGCAACCCGCACGGCTAGTTTCTGACCTTGAGCCTATTGATCGTAACTTCCACGGATAGAGCAGTGTTGAAAAATGGACAGTTCGTACATTTCTAAATGGTGCAATACTGTGGCCGACGCGACGGGTCGAATGAATCTGTCTTTTTACACAAACAAACATTCGGCCTGCAATGCTACGCTAATTTTAAACGTACAAATTTAATTTATACGTTTTAAAATTTTATTTTTTTAGTTTTAAAATGTATGTAGTGCGTGCGAGAAGCCGGTAATTATTACTATATTATTTTGGTAAAACTGAATTAAATTTGAAATTTTACGTTTATGCAAATTGAATTTATTTCATAGCTTTATTTATTTATTTATTTATTCATTACTTTATTTATTTCATAAATGAGATACCATAATTAATTGTTGTTTTTTCAATATATGTTTTATTACATTACGTTAAAAGTTCTTCTATGGAATTGAGTTTTCATTTACACTCAATTTATATAACTGAGTTTAAATAATTTGATGGAAATGGGTATGGTCAATTCAATACTCATGTTTTCCTTTAGAAAACTATTTATTTCGGCTTTACAGTGTAGTTGATGTTAATGAGTCTTTTCCAAAAAAATCAAAACAAACATGTATTAAAAATAATTATATGTACAAAAATGAATGATCATTTTACAAGCTATGATGACATTTAACCATCGCTTTTGTTTGTCTTCTTAGATGCTTTTTGCTTTTCCTGGGCATTAACAATATACGACGGATTTCGGATTTCCATTGATCTGCAATGGCGGGGATCAATTAATTCAGGTAGAATGCAATTGAGATAAAATCTCTAACTTAGGGACCATGTTATTTTGCCAGAACTCATCATCTCGTTCGATTTTTTCCATTTTTATTCCTTTAGTTGTCCACAGTACAAACTGGCAATAACGTCGTTTTGTAATGCTCAACTGGCCTTGCATTTGGTAGTAAAAGTCATGCCCCTTATTTATTTCACCAATCGTTCCATCCTTTTCCTTTTTCCAAAATGTACATTTTCTGGAGATGACTGCTTCATCCGGTGTCAGGTTTTTGCATGAAGATGGGCATTTGATCTCAATCAAGCCATCATCGTCGATTAACCCATCAGGAGATGCCCCTAAAAAAGGTTTTTCGTCGTCGATAAACAAGCCGCATGGTTGTATCGTTTTCTGTAATAAAGAAGCAGCTTCTTCTCTGGCCACCGGTTCATTTTGGCGGCCGTAGGCCATTGACTCACAGTCAAAAGTAGAGTATAATAATTGCTTTACCAACGAACTACAACCGGTCGTTGGTTTCATTTTACATACACGCCCAAAATTAGAGGCGGTCAATAGGTTACGGCGTATTTCGAGCCACTCTCCACTGTCACTTTGTTCGACGGTGGCTCGCTCGATTCGAATTCTTTCCTCTTTTGATCGTTGAAGTTTTTTTAGAAATTCTTCGGTTTCCATTTTCATTGTTTCCTCGTCGATGTCCGGCTTTTGGGCTGCTACGCCATAATCCGCATCGTTGTTAGAGCTCACCTGAAACAATGTCTTTCTTGATTTTTTCTGTCCCTGTCCTTTCTCAACCTTCCTTTTTCTTTTCAAACCTGTACTTTTGGTATAATATCCAGGGCTAGCTTTGTACATGTGCTTGTGGAGTACGTAGTGGGTGTTTCCTGTATTATGTTGAAGAACTGCCGCTGAACACCGTCCTTGGTACGATCCCCTCATGGCGAAGTTCACCCGTTTTCCTCCTATGTACTTAGCCACGATCGAATTGTAGTGCTCAACTGCATTAGAGGTTACATCCGTGATCAAACTCCGTGAATGGCGGCTCAGGTCACGAATAACATCACAGATTAAATTATACAATCCAGCGGACACTAACTGTGGAACAAAATTTCCTTCACTATTTACATCTTGCGCTTCCTTTGTACAAAAGTATCCCCTTTCTCTACAATGCTCATGCTGTCCAAATACATGACTGGGTACATTCAAAATATCCAGCCTCAGCTGTTTAATCTTTTCTACGTTTGGCAAATCTTGTTTCTTCCTGTATTCCTGGGCTTTTTGGACAGCCATTCTACAACGGAAAACGTTTTCACCCAATTTTTTTCTCATAAGGATACTGTTTTTGTTTTTGTTCGATGTAACTGCAATTTGCCTTAGCTTGTTGGAGAAGTTTCGCAGCAAATGGTTCTTACATTCTATTTTTTCAACAGTAATACTTTTATATGGTCTGCTCTCTCTAATCCTTTTGTATACGCTACTGTCGCCGTCTGCGATAAGACGAGCGTATCTCACTCCATACATCTCTTCGCTACGTTGAAAGCCGTCTGCGATGATGGCAGGTTCCATACTAGAAGAGCTCTGGGTTGACTCCCAGTTTTTGTAGCAGGTATGCTCTGTTGGCTCCTTTCCTAAAGATGCAGCTCGGGAGCATGGAGTGCAATATTTATTCTTCACTCCCATGTACAGCACCTTTTTTGTATTGTGGCCGACAATAGCCGCCTGTAAATAAAAACCCAAAAACCTTAGTAGTACACATTACATACACGCGTTAGTTGCCAATTTTTTATAATAGAGAATTATTTTCTTTTGAGAACAGATAAATACCCTCGTAGCAATAAACCTGTCACACCCAATTTGATGTGATGGAGTGAATGTTAAAAGGTGATTATTCGCAAGCCCATGTAGCACAGATGGTTGGGCCAACGTTGGTAAATTGTGGAGCCACACAGTTGGCCAACGGTAGAAATGCCATCTCTTTGAACTGTTTTCCAACCAACCATTCTCCAACAATGGCCCAACCATCCAAAAATACTGATGGCCAGGGACGTAACTAGGCTATTCAGTACCCGGGGCAAACACCTATTTTGGCGCCCCCCCTTCAATTGGACTGAACCCAATTCCTTACAAATCTTCTTAAAAAATGTGTGGTGTGTCCATCGGTGCAATACATTAAGACAACAGTATTTAGATCTTAAAATGCTTAACCCCAAGTTCAAAGTATTAAGGCTTTGAGAGACTGTATAGGTGGTAAATAATTGAATGCAATATGGTTCGTATTTTCAAAGACAAATATTTTATTTGAAAACGAAATGATTCACGAAAATAATATTGCTAGTAACTAATAATATTACTAGTATTGCTAGTGTTGTGTTTGTAGTATGTGTGTGTGTGTGCGTGGTGACTGGTGTGAGGGATGGTGTGCGGAGGGGTAGGTGGGTTTCGGGAGGGGTGTGGAAGTGTTTTGACGCCGCGCCGGCGCCGTCCCAGTGACTCATCGACGACAGACAGATAACGCAGTATGCTTATCCTCATTCTCGCACCGTACAAGTTCATACGTACCGTTATGATTCGTAAACAGTAAAATAACAGTTATATAGCATTTATCATTCCCCCCCCCCTAGTTACGTCCCTGCTGATGGCTAACTAACCATAACAAAACTGATATCCAACCAACCGTATAATTTAACACAAAATAATAAAAGATTTTGTATGAAAAGCTTACGGTAATTATTAGTTGAGTAAATTGATTAAATATTTCGTAAAAAAATTTTAAAAAAACTAGCACAACATTTGTTTTCCCAGACGGGGGGTCAAACCTACTTACCACTCCTGACAGTGACGAGTAATTAGATCTGTAGGACCTTTTGCACCAGCTGCCATCAGCAACGACGGTGAGAAGCGGCGTGCCATCTTCGTCAACCTCTCCATTTTCTACTGCGTGTCTTGCTTCTTCCTGTGCTGCTTCTTTCATTTCACACTCAGCTGTAGCTACCAACTCCGAGATTACCTAAAAGGTAGTTATATAATTAAATATTAACTATTGTACATATATAAAAAAAATAATAACTACAACTTGGTAA